ATTGTGTTGAACTAGATTCTTTCTGAGCTTTATGGAGGAGGATTGCAAAGGCATTTCCAAAAGAGGAATTTTAATATGTTGAGCGATTGCAACATTATTGTTTAAGTGTATGGCCTGTGGCTTTTCCAAAGGACTCTTTTAAAAGGTGTTCTTGTTTGTTTTGTTAAAAACCCATTCCATCCCTGGACTGTTTCATTCCTCCACAGAGAGGTGATGTGTAGACGGTAGGCGGTCCCTCTGTGGGCGCTGTGCTGCCCGACTCTGCCCAGTGTGAGGACGCAGGGGGCCCGAGAGACTACTAATCATATCAGCCTGCTTGTCTCCCTTGCTTAGGGTTGTCATGGCACAGGGTCTGGTGGCAATACCTCACCTTCAGAGGTGGCCATAGGGCAGGCTTCTCACCTTTCTCTGCAGCTTATCTGCACTGTTTGGTAGAGTTCTAGTTTTTTTTTTTTTACTTTTTTAATTTTTTAAAAATGCCAGTTCTTTGAATTGTGGCTTTTCTCCTGTTCCCATGGCAGAAGGATCTGTTCCGGGTCTCAGCGTTAATTTGGTGTGTAGCATGGAGGAGGTGCATTCAGAGTCTTCCTACATTGCCATCTTGAACTGGAACTCAAACCAAGCGCAGCTGTTTTGGTTCCTCCTCCTAGAGTCTCCCCACAACACCATGCTGCCTTGCAGAGGACACGGTCTTTATTAGGTGATCACTCGGGTCCCTTTATTGTCTAAGGCTCTGTGACCAACAGACAGGGGACAGCAGATGAATGCTCCTTGTGGAGACTCCTGAGGCTTCTCCAACCCTTGCTCTTTCCCTCCTGCTGCCCTGAAAAGGAGTGGGCTTGGAGTTCAGTGTCACAGAGCAGGGCTAGCAAGGCTCCGTCATGCTCCCTGGCTGGCTGTGATGGGAAAGACAGGGCTGCAGGCTTCAGGGGGCATCCGGGTTCCCCGGTGGCCCCACGTTCTGCCCTTGAGCCAGGAAGGATGGTAGCAATGGACTGAAGATCGGTGTTTGACAATTGTATTAATTTATTCATTTTTCCCCACCCATTTCACATTGTGCTTGGCTGGTTTAAATAGGAGTAAGGCCCAGACCTCTGTGTGCAGGATTTCAAAGTCTAGAGGGAGACCCAGACATGTGGCAGATGGGGGCAAAGCCTATAAGAGGAAGGCACCAACGGCCAGAGGGTGCACACAGGGGCAGCCATGGGACGCAGGGCAGGGGCCAGGGAAGCTTCCTTGGGTTGGAGGGGCGGGGGTGGCATTTGAGCCTATTTGATTGTAGGGAAGGAATGCTTTGTGATTCCTAGTCATCTCCAAAGTACGGGGGCTGAGTCTTGGAGAGCTACCTTGAGGAAGACTATATTTGTCTCAGGAAAGGAGCTATGGGGAGGGTATAAAGAGTTGCCAAAACCCTGGACTCTTGGACCCGGCCTGGCCCCCCGCCTCCCGCTGGCCGCTTGGGGTCCCCAACCATCAGGAAGCTCAGTCCCTCCTTGGCTCAGGAAAGGGTTCTTGCTCTGAACACCATCCCACCAAGAGAGGAGGCTTGCACTCCCCTGAGGCCGCTGCACCTCCTCCCCGCAACCCCTGACTGGGTGAAGCAAGTGTCTCAGAGCAGAATCCCGGGGTTGGAACAGATCTGGGGCCCACCGTGCAGGATGCAGTGCATCCAACTGTTTGTACAGGGATGTACAATCCTACCGCAGTGTCTCCTATAAATCCCTGGGGGAGGCCGTCAAGGAGCACAGCTCGGTGGCAGACTCAGGTTAGGACCCAGGGACCCTCTCCTGAGTGCCTGCCTTTCTGTTGCTTCCCCAGAGCAGAGGGTGCTCAGGGCACAGCCACTGTTGGCGTCAAGACTCCAGGCGACAAGCGGCAGCAGGAGGCAGGCGAGCTCTGCTTTCATTATTCACAGTTCTACGACCACCTGCCCCCTCCCTTAAGGAAGAGCTGCCAGGTGACGCTTGAGTACCTGTTCTGATCCATTCAGCTAATCCCCACAAGCCTGTGGTTGGTACTACAGGGCAGGAGTGAATGAGGCCCTGTAAGTAATGCCAAGAAATGCAGGCTAGAGGGTTGGCCCTCAGGCTCCCTTTGTTCTCAGCCCAGATTTGACTCCCACCTGCTGCTTTGTGTAGCTAGGGGAGCAGCTCCACACCTGGTTAGGGAGTCGGCAGGTTCGCACCCACTGAAGGCAGGAGCGCCCCACCTCGTGGTAGGTTCTGGTATCGATGGGCTGCCTGCCCTGCCAAGGTGGCTTCTGGCTTCCGGAAAGGAAATGGCATTTGGGGGAGCTCATGTCATCTCAGAACCGTACCACGGCTCTTAGGGACCATGCACAACTGGGTAACTTCAAAAATGACCACGCAGATGAGGTAATTGGCTCAATATTTCGGAGAGGCAGAGCAAGAACCTGAATGCAGGTCCTTGGAAACATCCAGGCACCTGTGCATCCAGGAACCCCGGGCTGGTTCCTTCTCAAGTCTTCCCCAGAGGCAATCTTTACAGAATAAAGTAAAATGAAGGGAGACCACCGAGGACATCCTGGACCCCTCACCCTCTTCCTGGTCCTCCTTACCTTCCCCTCATATGTGCCCCTCTGAGCCTTGGCAAACGCTCAAGGAGTCGGCTCTGTGCCAGGCAATGCTGTAGGTTCCGCTCCCATATCTCACACATCCTCCTTTCACATAAGTTTCCCATCCAAGAGAGATAACATTTTCCACGTTGAAAGCCAGACCAGGCCCAATTTCCCTTTTAAAAATATTTTATTTATTTATTTATTTATTTATTCATTCATTCATTTATTTATTTATTTATTTTAGAGAAAGAGAGAGAGAGAGAGGGTACAGAAGGGGGAGGGAGGGACAAGCAGACTCCCCATTGAGCATGGAACCCCACATGGGGCTTGGTCTCAGGACCCCGAGATCACAACCTGAGCTGAAATCAAGAGTCAGACTGAGCCACCCAGGCACCCCACACCAGGCCCAGTTTCCACTAGAAAATGTTTCCATCAGGAAAATGTGAAGAGCAGAGTTTAGGGCTTTGGGCAAAACCCCTGCTGACCAGTCCTGGACTCTGCTGCGGGTTCCCAGTGGCTGTCACCCAACAACACCACGGAGGAAGGAGGCAAGGCTGGTCTCTCTCCTTGCTTCACTTGGTGGAGCAGAACCCCCACCTAGGATCACGGGTGGAGTACCAATTCGACCCCCACAGACTGGTGAGATGTGATGGGGTCTCAGGGGTCCAGAGCAACTCCCACATTTTATTTTTGAGGAAAATCAGATCAAGAGAAGAGATTGTCTGGCTGAGGGCACATGGTCAGTGCAAGAGGTAGCAGCAGGCTCCAGCTCCCCAGCCTTCTGGGCACTGGCCCATTCCTTCGTATATTTATGGAATATTTTGGTACTGTCTGGTGGACAGATGTTTTGAGCATGGGGTGCTGGTGCTCCTGGCAGAGCGTCTGCTTGTCTGAAGCATGAAGCTTTGTTGTGTTTCACTGAAAACCTAACTGTGGAGTCCACCTCACTTCCAGACAGGCATTCACACCAGGTCTGGAACAGGACCTCAACCCTCTGAGGAGGGGCTCCACAGAGATGCCTGCGATCAAGAGAGGCTCCAGTCCATGCCACCCACAAGCCTGTCTGGTTATATTTAGAAAATAAAAAAAAAAAAAAAAACAAAGAGTGAGTTAAAAGGAGTGTGAGGAGAGGACCAAGGCAATACTCCAAATGTTAGTTGAAACTTGACCTGGGAATCAAGACAGGAACCCAAGAGTCTATTTTCCAGGTGACCCTTCATGTTCAGCTTATTGAGGAACAGACTGGATTTAGGCAGTGAGCAGGAATACTGAAACGAGGCCACTTCTTAAGCTATTAGTCTAGAAAAACCTTTGTGCAGGGTTTCACACATCCAACAGCACATTTGCTTCTCTTATTTTCTGACATTTCTTTTTTTAAAAAAATATTGGTATTTATTTATTTGAAAGAGAGACAGAGAAAGCACGAACAGGGACGGGGGCAGAAGGAGAAGAAGAAGCAGACTCCCTGCTGAGCAGGGAGCCTGACATGGGACTCAATCCCAGGACCTTGAGATCATGGCCTGAGCTGACAGCAGATGCTTAACTGACTGAGTCACCCAGGCACCCCTATTTTCTGACATTTCTTACCTGTGATTACTGTTCACTGCTCTTGGGGTGCCTGGCTCAAAGATGTGGTATAGACAGCATGTGTGAGTGGGATCCAGAGAAAAGCAAAGGGCAGTGAGTTGTATGCGCTCAAGAAATCTTCATGAACAGAAGCTCTACCTCGCTGCAGGTGCTCAGAAGTATGTTGTTTAGAAATCACACAGTGCTGTGAGTGCATCGAAATCCCTCAAACGAACTGCTGACCTGGGCAGTCCACTTAACCTTTTGGTTTTCATTTTCCTTCCATCCTCCAAATAGAGCTGCTTATCCATCCTCCATGAGATTGGGTTGTGTTCATCAGGTGGGATAACCTAAGAGTAAAGGTTGGGTTCGGTTTTTGCAAACTAAACTCCTATGTCACCCAACGTGATGATTACCTGAGGAGGCCAGGAGAAGGGGACAAGGCTCGTCAGGACTGGAGCATCCATAGGTAGAGGCTGGTTTGGGTTTGATGAGAAGGCAGATGGCATTTGGTGGGAAAGGGGCCATCAGACTGACTGCATTTCTGTCCATCTATGGATGAGATCAGCCTGGACCTTGATCTCTAGTCTACTCCCATCTATGGGTCAGCGAGAGACTCTCAGGAACAAGGAAAGGAGGTAGGCTATTTTATAAAATTCTGAGACTCTTTAGGAAAAACAAAACAAAACAGAAAAAGGTAAAGTAAGCAAGCTTTTAGGAAAATTCTTTCATCAGACCATCACCCTTGCTGCTGGATTCATTCAACAAACATTTATTGAGCACCTGCCATAAACCAACATTCTTCTAAGTCATTGGGATGCTTCAAGAGCCCTCCTGCCTTCCAGAAGCTTACATGTTAGGTCTTAGCTTTGTTGTTCCTGTCATTTGTCTCTTGTTTATTTTTAATTTCTGCTTCTGTACTTGGTAGGCAGCACCTGTTCCAGGGATCGGAGCAGATTTCAGCCTTTCTCTCACCAAAATGGCAGAAGAAAAGTCTACATGTCCCATGTTGTGTAAGGCAGATAACATCTCTAATTCCAGGTGGCATATCCCCTGTTGATACAATAGAATAGAGTTGATGTTGAATTCATATTGTACAGAGAATAAAAGATGACCCTGGCCCACAGCCCAACTCTGAATACTTATTATATTTTTCCAAAGTTCAGGGTCTTTGGACAAGTTCTAGTTTAACCAAGCTTTGGTTTCTTAGTTTTAAAACAGGAACAATTATCTATACCTCAAAATTTTTCCAGAAGGGTGTATATTTTATCCTATATTATTATATCAGGATTCTCAAGCCTCCTGGTGACAGGAGTTAGCGGATTAGGGGAAAGCAAAGGGAATTTCAGAGAACAGAGTAGAATAAAGGAGGGGTGGATGTCAGTCTCTAGGAAAATTGGGAATAGCTCTGATTCCCAGCTTGTGGCTTCATTTTTAGTTTTATGTCTTATAATGAAAAGAAGAAAAGAAAACCTTTTTCTTCACCATGACTTGTGAAATTGTAAGTCAAACACAACTACCCATTTATGGAAAGTGTTTTCTATTTGTCCCAAGAAAAAGACAAGTGTAATTATGTGTGGTGATGGACATTTACTAGGTTTCCTGTGGTGGTCATTTCACCATGCATACAAATATGGAATCGTTATGTTCTATGCCTGAAACTAGTATAATGTCCTATGTCAATTCTGTCTCAATTAAAAAAAAAAGCACCTCCTATATTTGGGAATGAGATGGTTGAATGAAAGCTCTTGTGTCAGGTCTGCAAATGTCACCTATGATGAGTAAAAAAAACAACGAAAACCACAAAATGCCCATAGTGTTGGTTTTGCATGATTTAAAAGACAACCTTGTGCAAGATCTCAGCAACACCTGGGGCCTAGCCTGTGACCCCGTATCACCTGGGCTATGGCATGGCTTGGGGAGGGCAGCCAGGTGAAGACATGAGCCCCACAGCAATGAAGGTACCACAAGCCTGGGAACCTAGAGATCTGCATTCTAGTCTCACCTCCTCCAGTAGCTAATCAGCTCTCCTTGGATAATTTGTTTAACCAGCCATGCCTCAGTGTGCTCCTGTAGAACTGACCACCCGAGACAGCTGGAGGAACACTAGCCTAGGTCTGAGTCACGGCTCAGGCTGTAATGGTAAGTGCACAGCCATACACTGTCACTCTGCTGTGAGCTGGGTTTCCTCTCCCTGGAGAGCGCAGGACTGCCATGAAGACTATGGGCCCCTATGATGGGACCCATAGTCCCTTCCAGCTCTGATATTGGTCCGTCATTACCTTCTGGAAACTTTTTTTTTTTAATTTTTATTTATTTATGATAGTCACAGAGAGAGAGAGAGGCAGAGACACAGGCAGAGGGAGAAGCAGGCTCCATGCACCGGAAGCTCGACGTGGGACTCGATCCCGGGTCCCCAGGATCGCACCTTGGGCCAAAGGCAGGCGCCAAACCGCTGCGCCACCCAGGGATCCCCCCCTTCTGGAAACTTTTATCAGACTGTGGTGAGTGTTTCCTATGTGTCTCAGAACTACGGTGCTCCTCTGTCTTGTATTCTATGACCTGGTAACCCATATTTCACTTCTTAAAAAAAAACTCTTCAGAGGGAAGATCCACATGGTCCAGAGCTGAGCCCCAGAGGGGTCCACCTGCACCCATTAACAACACAAGACACCCCAGCCTTCCACATGGGCAGTCATCCACGGGGTTCCTGCCCTACCTTCCCTGGTCACCACAAGCAGCTCTCTGCACTGGCCAGGAGACATTTACCTGAGTTGCCTTGGACCAGACAGAAGAGGACAGCAAAAAGAAAGAGGGCCTTCATGTTTCAAGGTTCTCTGAGGTCTCCCAGCCCTCCTGTGCAGAAAAGCCAAGCCAAAGAGACAGTGGCGTGGTATAGAGGACACAAAAATGGGACATTTATAGGTTTTTGGGAACACTGATCAGGAATGAGCATATTTATCTGGTCTACTGAGTAAGGTTGTGGGCAGAAGGTGTTGAGGAGAAATTATTTGGGAACTAAATGTTGCTTTTCTCTCTTTGCCAACAAAAGGTCACCCTATCAGTAACTATGACTAAGCAATCATAAAATAGATATCAAGGTGTGTCGTATGTGGGGGTCAAACAGTAAAGAGGAAATCTGTTAAAATTTGGAATTCTTTTTTTCTGGAGCATTTGTTCTGAACACTTCTATGTATTTTGCCATTGTGAAAAAGGCATAAGCATCTTGATTCGATCCTTGAGAAAACGAACTTCCACACCAAGAACACATCCTGAGTTCATGATTCTCAATGAATGATTGTAATTCTGAATCCACCTCCATGGATGGGGAAAGGACAGCTCTACGGTACAAGAATTACTTTCAATACAAACTCTAGCATGTATGTATCCAAATGTATGGGTCATTTTTAAAAAGTCACCTTGGTAGGTGAAACCATAAAAGCATGTTTTGTACTTTGCGTTCTTTCCTGCTACTTAGACTTACTTGATTTAGAGAAGATTTAAGATAAATGTGGATGATATATTTTTTCTAGCAGTCTAGCCAGCACTCACATAGTTGTGAGATTATAGCTTAGAAATTGTTTTCTATATAGTTTGGAAATTTCATGAGCTATGTTGGAAAAGTAGCTCACCTGGGAGAGAAACACATGAACAGTATTAGAATTTATCACCCACTTTTCTCTTTACATGCAGATCTATTATTTCCAGGTCACAGATTCAGATGCAACCACTAAGGAAGAATTCCATAAATAGTGTTGGAGACTCAGGCATGTCATTCCAACAGCATACAAACTAGGATATCCAGCTTATTGAACAATCTCATTAATATGGTCATAGGGTCATTGGTTCTTATAATTACAGGGCTGAAAGGAACTAAAGCTCAGTTTGTCCCAGCACAGAAGGTAATTATTCTGGTGTGCATTATACTTATACAGAAGAAGATGGCATTAGGAAAGATAAAAGATACCCTTGGGTTTGAAAACATTTGAGTGTGGCAAAACATTTTTATATATTAAAAAAAATACCTTGATACAGTTCAACAATAATTAGGTAAACAAGTCCATTTAAAAGTGAGCAGAGGACTTGAATAAACATTTCTCCAGAGAAGAAATGCAAATGCCCAAAAAACCACATAGAAGGTGCTCAAAATCATTAATCATTAAGGAAATGGAATTCGAACCAAGAGATGCCACTTCCCAGGCAGGCACTAGGATGTCCATTGGAATAATAATGATGATGACAACAATAGCAAAGTGATGTTGTTACTTAACGACTTGGAGAAATTTATTTCCAAATTCAGTCTAACTATTTCACTAAACGAGTACTAGATGGCTAGAATTTGGCTGGGAATCCCATCCACCTGCCATCCTGTGACTCTGAGATAGGGTTCCACTGCTCTTAAATAAACTGTGAGTGAAACCATTTACTCTTTCCACTTACTTATTTACCCCATGAGAATGTAAGCTCCATTCAGGCAGAGGTTTTGTGTGGTTGATTCTTTATCTTTAGGACCTAAAACAGTGCTTGTCATACAATAGAAGCTCAATGGATAGTTGTTGAATGAATTCACACATTTCCCACTAGAGATAGAATCAAATCAACACAAAGCATAAGAAAAAAAAAGTACAAAATAGAGGTCCGGGAATATTACTGGAAAGACTAAGCAAGCCAGCTGTCTTGGGGAAAAGATTCAGTTGTGGAAATCAGAGGACAATTCTGTCTCATGTATTAAAAAGAAAGAAAGAAAAAGAAAAAATAAAGGAAGAAAATAGCCATTGCATCTACTAGTTAGAAGCAATTATCTATAAGGACCAAATAAGGTGAAATAGAATAGAAGGCTAAGACAAAAACAATGAATTGGAAGAGTAAAAAAAAGTATGATGGCAGGGCGAAATTGATACTTTAGAAGTTGAATTACATGGCATGACGGTCAAATTTGAGTTGGTATTCCAGGTGGAGGGGAAAAAGACACCGTAGGAAAGTTATTAGAGAAGATGAGACACCATAGAAAAGCAGGTGATCCCTGAGGTGAGAACAAAGTTTTCAAAGAAGAAATGAGGTGGAATGGTGGTTATGAGGGGCTAGAGGAAGGGAGAAATGGGGATAAATGATCAATAGGTATAAAGTTTCAGTTATGCAAGATGTATAAGCTCTAGAGATCTGTTGTAACACTGTACCTAAAGCCAACAATAATGTACCCTTAAAATCAAAGAGGATAGATGTCGTACAAAGTGTTCTAATGACAATACAATCACAAATTTTTAAAATGCAAAATAATTTTTAATGAGAAATGTATAGGGGAAACCAGAAGAAAGGAAGCGACTTCTACTGAATTATTACTGCATGTTTGCTTAGCACTGGGCTCAATGTTTATATCTCAACAACTGTTAGCGTCTCAATTGTCAAATACTTTCTAGCCTTAGTACTTTTGCAACTGATTTTGACCATATGATTCACCACTTCTCATATTTTTATTTTTTTAAAGATTTTATTTATTTATTCATGATAGATACAGAGAGAGAGAGAGAGAGAGAGAGGCAGAGACACAGGCAGAGGGAGAAGCAGTTTCCCTGCGGGGAGCCCAACATGGGACTCGACCCCGTGACTCCAGGATCACGCCTTGAGCCAAAGGCAGATGCTTAACCACTGAGCCACCCAGATGTCCCACATAGTTTTATTTTTAAAATTTTAAAAATTGACATTTTTCTTTTAAAAAATTAATTCTGGTATAATCCACATATAGTATTACATTAGTTTCAGGTGTGCAATATAGTGATTCAATAATTCCATACATCACCCTGTGCTCATCATGACGAGTGTCCTCTTAATTCAGTTTGCCTACTTCACCTATCCCCTCAACTCATCTCCCCCCTTTTTAAGAAAATAATGTTAAAATACACTTTTTATATTGTTTATAAATGAGAATGTTATCAGAGTAAGCCAATTAGAGGGTTTAGTAATTTTTCAGATGAAACTAATAAAACGAGAAGTTAACCGAGAAGACGACGAGGAGTCATGGTTAAACATGACTAAATGAAAAAAAAATAAACATGACTAAATGAAATGTTAGAAGAATAAACAAAAAGAAAAGAAACCCACAAAAATCAGGTATCCTGCAACAGAACAAAAGCAGACCTGCCTCGTGTGTGTTTGGCGCTTCTGACACTTTAAGATGAAAAGTGTGTTGCAAGAATTGGTTTCATGACTGATTATTTTTCACGAGTAAAGGAAAAAATCGTCCTGAAATATTCAAGGAGTCAGAAAATGTTTCATCCAAATGCGTTCTTGAAAAGATGATAACATTTACATTTGTTTCTATTCTACGTTGTCTTTTTTTTTTTTTGCTTTCTTTTTTTTTTAAGAAAAGGAATGCCAGATGCCAGTTTCTTCCTTTAAATTTGCCATGTTCAAAGCCATGTTCATGTGTCCCAAGGACCAAAGCATGGCTGTACCCTTTAAAGGTTAAGACTCTGTGGCTTTGCCATTCTGTGGATTCTGAAAGTTACATCCCTTAGTGAAAAGCAGACAGCAGGTTGGCTGGATTTGGCCTTTCCCTTCTCAAAGTAAGATTTAACATTCATACTTAAGTTTCCTCAAGCCAGATTGGCTCTTCAACTTTACAGAACCATTTCTTCCTCCCCATGTGTCTGTTTCACTACATACTGTGATCCATGTCTTCCTTTTTATTCCTGGAGCAATAAACAGAATTTCCAGCCTCTGCTCTCCCAGTGGGACCATCTCCTGCTTCCCTAAAAACCACAGGGGAGTGTCTTGATGGTCTAACGTAAGACCACTGTCCCCATTCATTAGAGGCTTCACCAAGGGCACGGTTCCCAGCCACTTGAATTAGGTCAACACAGCCCTTGGGTTTAGACCAAGAGAAATAATAAACTGGATCTCCATCACCCAACTTGGGCTGCAGGTAATTGTTCTTACTCTTCGGCTAATGATTCTGACCACAATATCCCCTTGAAATGATCTTCCCACCAACTTCCTCTTATCCAAGAATCTATGTAGGCCCTTGCTCACATGTCTTCCTCTTGTCTTTATTCCTGCAGCTTCAAATAAAGACAAAAGTGACTGATAAGCATAACCAACCTTCTTTCCTCCTAGATCTGGAAACTCCTTTGGGACTTTCTTTCCACTATCCTAACTCTATTCTGTTGTTGGGCCTCTATATGACAGCCCCCTGTGTGGCTAACAATCTCACCAGAACCTTGGCTAAACCAACGGAGAACGTTTGCCATTTTCCCAGAATCCTACACCAGATTCTTGTCTCATTTACTTCACAGGACTGTCTCTTCTAGGCTCAACATAATTCATCACAGGAGAGAGAGCATCAAGCTCCTGCAGTCACACTCCTTTGTCTACTGTACTTGGGTCACGTACAGAAATAGCTCTCAGTTTTCCTTTATCTAGACACGCTGGTTTTAATTTTTTTTTCTTATAAATACAACCTGTTGATTGTCATGAAGAGCTTGGGTCTAGAAGGGCATGTTTGTCCACTGTGCTCATCAGGAGTTATGCAAACCAGAGACACAATGATTGCTACAGTTGGGGCTAAGATCCAAGCATCAGCGTTCCTGGGGAGTGCTATTTCCTCTGCTCACCCACCCACATCTAGTGGCATCTGGGACTCACAGAGTCGCATGCCCACCTACAGGGACAGGGCCTTCCCCCAGAGCTGGAGCTTCGTCCTGACCAACATCCATCTCTCTGAGGTTGTGGCCAGGAAACATTCTGAAAAACAGATGTATGTTCTCTTAAAAATGTCAGGGTTGTGTAAGACAAAAAAAAAAAAAAAGCCCACACTTGGACTTTTCT